TTTCAGTCATCTTTAACAAAATATATACATATATATATATATGTGTGCAAATATATATATGTGTGTGCAAATGTATAGAAAAATAGGAAAGAACTGTTAGGTTAATAATCCAAAGTTCTTTAGTATTTTTGTTTTTATTTTTAAAAAACAGTGCTCAATACACAAGTAGAGCCTAAATTATAATTATTTTTTTAAAAATATGATTCCATCGTTACATAATAGTTCTCATGTTTCAAAAAAAGAAGCTAAAAACTTCAATTTAATTATTGAAATTAAATTGAATTAAAGTACCCAGCTCTGTTTCATCCTCAGGTGAATTTTGGAATAACTAATCATTAAATTTACAGAGCTTTATAAGCATATACATTCGTAATATTAATATTAATTACTATAGAAATGGCGAAACCAATTATTTTAATAAGGCATGTAAGGGGTTACATTTTCACTGACAACTATTGTATCAACATATTAGTTACATTCAGAAAGAAGTTTAGTCAAGGTAGGGTCAGGGTGCCTATTTTCAAGGGAATGAAGACATCGGTTTGACATATATCATCTGGTCTATTTCAACAACAGAGAGTTAATGGCATTTTTCTTATGCTGTCAAATTCGTATTTGTATACCTAAAGATTTTTCTAAAAGAGTTGTTTGTAATACGTCGTATTAAACTACAATTTGTTTTTGATGACTTCATAAAGGTTTTTTTTTTCTGATGATTGGGTTAATTTTTTAAACCTATTGCTTTAATTGAAATTGTTTATTTAAAAACATTTTTAAGCTAATTATTTAAGACAAAAATTTGTTGATGTTGGCAAAAAAATGTTAACTCATGTCTATGATTTAATAAATGTTTGTTTTTTAGAAACTTAATAATGCATAGTTTTTCATGTAGGCATAAAGGGAATGGGTCATCCCAGATTTTACAAGTTCTTGTTCTATTTATTATTTTCCATTTTACTTTTGGTGTTTTATTCATTTCTTTTAAATGCCAAAAATATTTGGAGAGAGATTTCTGATTTCTATTTCTAATATTATTGAAGGAGCTTTTGTGTTGTCTCCATCTAATTTTAAATTCATTCTTCATGGATCCTATATATATATATATATATATATATATCATTTCAATGTTAGTACTCTCAATGGATGAGATTGTGCATTGGTATACCACAGATTCTATTCGGCATTTATTTTCCAACAAGCAGTCTTCAGGGTTTCTACAATCACATAATTTTTCATTATTTTTGTCTAATTTTAGTTTAGGGTTTTTATTAATTATATTTTGGCATGCGTGTTTTTCCAAGATTTTATTATTATGTTTTTTTATGATTCTTTCTAGATTTTCAGTGCAGCTGTAGCTTAATTTTAAGATGTTTTTATTAAAGATCTTGCTAAGTTTGCTATCAGTAGGAAAATGTTTTTCAATTAAAGCTAGGAATTTTTGTCCTAGCATTTGGTTTAATGGAGGGGTATGCCAAATGATTTTTCTTTTACTGTTTTTCTTCTGGTAATTAATCATATTTTTAAAAAAATAATTATATACATATATATATATATATATATATGTGTGTGTGTGTGTGTGTGTGTGTGTGTGTGCAAAAGTGGATCAATAATTCTTTAGCCTGTCATATTTATTAACTCAATTTTGATCTGAAATTTTCACTGTCTAAGTTGGTATCTGAAAGATACTGGCTCAAATATCACCAGTTATTTCTATCCAAATCAACTTGCTCAAAGTTAGTATAAGACACATTGACAGCTGAGAGGTTACTCTTTAGTTTGTCTTTATACATGAGCCATGGCCGTCCATTGTCCATTGTCAAGCTGCAAATACCTTACAACATGACCAGCCCAGTGAAGTTGTGACTGTATCAGAAAAGATCAGCATTTGACATCCTATCCTTAAAAGTATAGCCACATATTGAGCAGGGACAACTTTTGTGAAGAACATCCAGCTTATTGGTTCACAATTCTGAGCATAAAACAGTTTGGTCAAAACGGCTGCTCTATAAACTCATATTTTGGTGTCCAATTATATATATATATATATATATATATATATATATATATATATATATATATATGGAGAGAGAGAGAGGAAATTTTCTATTTTTCATACTGTATGAATAATTTTGTCTTTTCCTATTTTGCATAATTCACCTGTTAAATTTGTTGTATTTAACCTATTGTTATGAAAATTGAGTTTTATATTCCTTTTTTGTGTGCTTATTAACATATAAAAACCTGCCATCATACGGGGATTAGATTCTGAGAAATGGATAAAAATATTCAAAATTAATGGGTGCATGAATAATTTTGTCATTGACTATATATATATATATATATATATATATATATATATATATATATATATAACAAGTATAGGATTGGTGTATATGGAATAAATTCCAATAACCAACAATTACTATTCTTAAAAAGCGCTCAATACAGAGTAGTTTAATATAATTATTTATTTAAAATTATAACATAAATATTTATGTTTTAGTTTTTTAAATAAATAATTATATATATATATATATATATATATATATATATATATATATATAGTCTTCTGACCTTTGTCGGTCCTTTTAATACTGTACAACCTGACCGCGCACCGTGAATTAGATATTAAGGACATCGGGCTGTATAGAGATGACGGGCTCATGGTAGTGAGGAGTTCTACTAATTTTAAAATAGAGAAAATTAGAAAGATTATATATAGTAAATTTAGCAATCTAAATTTAAAAACAACAGTCTGTACTAAATTAAAAAGGGTAAACTTCCTCAACATAACTCTAGATTTAAGAAACAACACATACCTACCTTATAGAAAACCTAATACTAACCCCTTATATATACACCCTAAGTCAAACCACCCTCCATCTATAATTAAACATATATCCTTATCAATAGAGAATAGAATCTGCATTAACTCCGCTAATAAAGAAATATTCCAACAACACAGTAATTTTTATAACACAGCCCTAAAAAGTAGTGGATACAAAAATACTAACATCAATTATAGAAACAATTGTACTAACCAGAAGAAAAACAGGAAAAGAAAAATCATTTGGTATACCCCTCCGTTCAACCAAATGGTTAGTATTAAGCTAGGACAGAAATTCCTAGTTTTAATTGAAAAACACTTTCCTACTAATAGTAGACTTAGTAAAATATTTAATAAAAACACACTAAAATTAAGTTACAATTGAACTGAAAATTTAGAAAGTATCATAAAAAACACAATAATAAAATCCTGAATCTTTGTCATGTTGTATTGATAATGTTATATTTATGAATATGTCCTGAAGATGGTTTATTAGACCGAAATGTCCGACGTTGACATATTAACATTAAAATAGCATAATTGTATATAAGGATTTTTGTTTGTTTTTTTCCGTATATATTTTTATATTCATATATATATATATATATATATATATATATATATATATATATATATATATATATATATATATGCAAACACAGGCTTAAATATATTTTTTATTACTTTTTTTTTTTTATTGACAAATTGAAAGAATGAAATTAAAAGAATGGAATTGATCTAATATCAAACGATGAACTTAATAAACGTCATATTTTAGTTTATAGTTATACAAACTGGAAGATGGTGTAGTTGGCAAAAAGAAAATTGTGTAATAATTTTTTTTTAATACTTGTCAAATATTTAATAAGAATAAATAGTTTTGTCTAATTTCAAAATCAGTTTTCTTTGATTTAGATGAATTTGTAGTAACAAATATAACAAGCCTAAAACTGAGAATAAAAACTAAAACCTCTCAGCCTTTGCTCTAATCATGGAACTATATCTTGTAAAGCTAATTAGAGAATTTATAGTAAAGATCCTTTCATTTCACCATTAATATTGTTAATCAAAATTAATCATCAGGGATTTGAACTGGCATGATGAATGTTTTTGAGCCAATTCAATGGTGAGATTTGCCAGGTGATTATTATAAAGTAAATAAAATCCATTGAGGCCAAAATAAATGAAATATTTATTTTAGACAGTAAGAATGAATTTTGGTTGCTTTCTAAATTGTCAAATTAAATTATTACAAAATGGATGAAGAAAGGTAAAACTTAATTTGTATTGTTAAAAATAACCGTTCTCTATTTTATCTAAAATTATTTGTGCTTACTTTAGCAGATGAAATAAAATCAGCCAACTTACAATCACTAATTTAATCAAAATTGACTAGTAAAAGGAAAACCCTTTGTTCAATTATCTCAATTTATTAATTCCATCGATAAAAAGCAAAATAAAAAGGGAGTTATAGAAAGATTTTCAGCAATCTCATGTCAGTCATTTGCAAGGATTCAAATTAAATCTAAAATATATTAAAGTCTATTTACATTATTTAATTTCAGAATTATACCCTTATCTTTGTTGTTATTATCAATTGCACCCTTAGACAATGTTCAGTTGTTTCTCAGTCCAGCTAATCTACAGAAAATTTAAAATTCAATCCTTTATTTACCCTACACTTATTTTTGTTCCACTGTTCATGTCTGAGGTTATCATATCTTCTCATTCGACTGTTCATGTCTGGAGATATCATGTCTTCTTCTCATTCCACTGTCCATGTCTGGAGATATCATGTCTTGTTCTCGCACCACTGTCCATGTCTGGAGATACCATGTCTTCTTCTCGCTCCACTGTCCATGTCTGGAGATATCTTGTCTTCTTCTCATTCCAATGTCCATGCCTGGAGATACCATGTCTTCTTCTCGTTCCACTGTCCATGTCTGGAGATACCTTGTCTTCTTCTCATTCCACTGTCCATGTCTGGAGATACCATGTCTTCTTCTCGTTCCACTGTCCATGTCTGGAGATACCTTGTCTTCTTCTCATTCCACTGTCCATGTCTGGAGATACCATGTCTTCTTCTCGTTCCACTGTCCATGTCTGAGATAATTTTGTCTTCTTCTCATTCCACTGTCCATGTCTGGAGATATCGTGTCTTCTTTTCATTCTAATGTCCATGCCTGGAGATACCATGTTTTCTTCTCATTCCACTGTCCATGCCTGGAGATACCATGTTTTCTTCTCGATCCACTGTCCATGTCTGGAGATATCATGTCTTCTTCTCATTCCACTGTCTATGTCTGGAGATACCATGTCTTCTTCTCGCTCCACTGTCCATGTCTGGAGATATCTTGTCTTCTTCTCATTCCAATGTCCATGCCTGAGATACCATGTCTTCTTCTCGTTCCACTGTCCATGTCTGGAGATACCTTTGTCTTCTTCTCATTCCACTGTCCATGTCTGGAGATACCATGTCTTCTTCTCGTTCCACTGTCCATGTCTGGAGATACCTTGTCTTCTTCTCATTCCACTGTCCATGTCTGGAGATACCATGTCTTCTTCTCGTTCCACTGTCCATGTCTGGAGATACCTTGTCTTCTTCTCGTTCCACTGTCCATGTCTGGAGATATCGTGTCTTCTTTTCATTCTAATGTCCATGCCTGGAGATACCATGTTTTCTTCTCATTCCACTGTCCATGCCTGGAGATACCATGTTTTCTTCTCGATCCACTGTCCATGTCTGGAGATATCATGTCTTCTTCTCATTCCACTGTCTATGTCTGGAGATACCATGTCTTCTTCTCGTTCCACTGTCCATGTCTGGAGATACCTTGTCTTCTTCTCGTTCCACTGTCCATGTCTGGAGATATCGTGTCTTCTTTTCATTCTAATGTCCATGCCTGGAGATACCATGTCTTCTTCTCGTTCCACTGTCCATGTCTGGAGATACCTTGTCTTCTTCTCATTCCACTGTCCATGTCTGGAGATATCATGTCTTCTTCTCATTCCACTGTCTATGTCTGGAGATACCATGTCTTCTTCTCGTTCCACTGTCCATGTCTGGAGATACCTTGTCTTCTTCTCATTCCACTGTCCATGTCTGGAGATATCATGTCTTCTTCTCATTCCAATGTCCATGTCTGGAGATACCATGTCTTCTTCTCGTTCCACTGTCCATGTCTGTAGATATCATGTCTGCTTCTCATTCCACTGTCCATGTCTGGAGATATCATGTCTTCTTCTCATTCTAATGTCCATGCCTGGAGATACCATGTTTTCTTCTCATTCTACTGTCCATGTCTGGAGATATCATGTCTTCTTCTCGATTCTAATGTCCATGCCTGGAGATACCATGTTTTTTTCTCATTCCACTGTCCATGTCTGGAGATCATGTCTTCTTCTCATTCTAATGTCCATGCCTGGAGATACCATGTTTTCTTCTCATTCCACTGTCCATGTCTGGAGATATCATGTCTTCTTCTCATTCTAATGTCCATGCCTGGAGATACCATGTTTTTCTTCTCATTCCACTGTCCATGTCTGGAGATATCATGTTTCTTCTCATTCCAATGTCCATGTCTGGAGATACCATGTTTTCTTCTCATTCCACTGTCCATGTCTGAGATATCATGTCTTCTTCTCATTCCAATGTCCATGCCTGGAGATACCTTGTTTTCTTCTCATTCCACTGTCCATGTCTGGAGATATCGTGTCTTCTTTTCATTCCAATGTCCATGCCTGGAGATACCATGTTTTCTTCTCATTCCACTGTCCATGTCTGTAGATATCATGTCTTCTTCTCATTCCAATGTCCATGCCTGGAGATACCATGTTTCACTGTCCATGTCTGGAGATTCTTCTTCTCATTCTAATGTCCATGCCTGGAGATACCATGTTTTCTTCTCATTCTACAGTCCATGTCTGGAGATATCGTGTCTTCTTCTCATTCCAATGTCCATGCCTGGAGATACCATGTTTTCTTCTCATTCTACTGTCCATGTCTGGAGATATCATGTCTTCTTCTCATTCTAATGTCCATGCCTGGAGATACCATGTTTTCTTCTCATTCTACTGTCCATGTCTGGAGATATCGTGTCTTCTTCTCATTCTAATGTCCATGCCTGAGATACCATGTTTTCTTCTCATTCTACTGTCCATGTCTGGAGATATCATGTCTTCTTCTCATTCTAATGTCCATGCCTGGAGATACCATGTTTTCTTCTCATTCTACTGTCCATGTCTGGAGATATCATGTCTTCTTCTCATTCTAATGTCCATGCCTGGAGATACCATGTTTTCTTCTCATTCTACTGTCCATGTCTGGAGATATCATGTCTTCTTCTCATTCTAATGTCCATGCCTGAGATACCATGTTTTCTTCTCATTCTACTGTCCATGTCTGGAGATATCATGTCTTCTTCTCATTCTAATGTCCATGCCTGGAGATACCATGTTTTCTTCTCATTCTACTGTCCATGTCTGGAGATATCGTGTCTTCTTCTCATTCCAATGTCCATGCCTGGAGATACCATGTTTTCTTCTCATTCTACTGTCCATGTCTGGAGATATCATGTCTTCTTCTCATTCTAATGTCCATGCCTGGAGATACCATGTTTTCTTCTCATTCTACTGTCCATGTCTGAGATATCATGTCTTCTTCTCATTCTAATTCCACTGTCCATGTCATTCTACTGAGATATCATGTCTTCTTCTCATTCCAATGTCCATGCCTGGAGATACCATGTTTTCTTCTCATTCCACTGTCCATGTCTGGAGATATCATGTCTTCTTCTCATTCCACTGTCCATGTCTGGAGATACCATGTTTTCTTCTCGTTCCACTGTCCATGTCTGAGATATCATGTCTGCTTCTCGTTCCACTGTCCATGTCTGGAGATATCATGTCTTCTTCTCATTCCAATGTCCATGCCTGGAGATACCATGTCTTCTTCTCATTCCACTGTCCATGCCTGGAGATACCATGTTTTCTTCTCGATCCACTGTCCATGTCTGGAGATATCATGTCTTCTTCTCGTTCCACTGTCCATGTCTGGAGATACCATGTCTTCTTCTCTATTCCACTGTCCATGTCTGAGATGCCATGTTTTCTTCTCATTCCAATGTCCATGTCTGGAGATATCATGTCTTCTTCTCATTCCACTGTCCATGTCTGGAGATATCATGTCTTCTTCTCGATCCACTGTCCATGTCTGGAGATATCATGTCTTCTGATTCCACTGTCCATGTCTGGAGATATCATGTCTTCTTCTCATTCCACTGTCCATCTCTGGAGATATCGTGTCTTCTTCTTTCATTCTAATGTCCATGTCTGGAGATACCATGTCTTCTTCTCGTTCCACTGTCCATGTCTGGAGATACACTGTCCATGTCTGGAGATACCATGTTCTTCTCATTCCACTGTCCATGTCTGGAGATACCATGTTTCTTTTCATTCTAATGTCCATGTCTGGAGATACCATGTTTCCATTCTGGAGATTCCACTGTCCATGTCTGGAGATATCATGTCTTCTTCTCATTCCACTGTCCATGTCTGGAGATATCGTGTCTTCTTTTCATTCTAATGTCCATGTCTGGAGATACCATGTCTTCTTCTCGTTCCACTGTCCATGTCTGGAGATACCTTGTCTTCTTCTCGTTCCACTGTCCATGTCTGGAGATACCATGTCTTCTTTTCATTCCAATGTCCATGCCTGGAGATACCATGTTTTCTTCTCATTCCACTGTCCATGTCTGGAGATATCATGTCTTCTTCTCGATCCAATGTCCATGTCTGGAGATATCATGTCTTCTGATTCCACTGTCCATGTCTGGAGATATCATGTCTTCTTCTCGATCCACTGTCCATGTCTGGAGATACCTTGTCTTCTTCTCGTTCCACTGTCCATGTCTGGAGATATCGTGTCTTCTTCTCATTCCAATGTCCATGTCTGGAGATATTGTATCTTCTTCTCGTTCCACTGTCCATGTCTGGAGATACTTGTCTTCTTCTCATTCCACTGTCCATGTCTGGAGATACCATGTCTTCTTTTCATTCTAATGTCCATGCCTGGAGATACCATGTTTTCTTCTTGTTCCACTGTCCATGTCTGGAGATATCATGTCTTCTTCTCATTCCAATGTCCATGTCTGGAGATACCTTGTCTTCTTCTCGTTCCACTGTCCATGTCTGGAGATATCGTGTCTTCTTCTCATTCCAATGTCCATGTCTGGAGATATTGTGTCTTCTTCTCGTTCCACTGTCCATGTCTGGAGATACCATGTCTGCTTCTCATTCCACTGTCCATGTCTGGAGATACCATGTCTTCTTCTCGTTCCACTGTCCATGCCTGGAGATACCATGTTTTCTTCTTGTTCCACTGTCCATGTCTGGAGATATCGTGTCTTCTTCTCATTCCACTGTCCATGCCTGGAGATACCATGTTTTCTTCTTGTTCCACTGTCCATGTCTGGAGATACCATGTCTTGTTCTCACTCCACTGTCCATGTCTTGAGATATCATGTCTTCTTCTTATTCCAATGTCCATGTCTGGGGTTTTATGTCTTGTTCTTTTTAATACTGCTTCATTATTGCTTGGTATGTTTTTACTGTCTAAAAATATTTTCCCTTCACACTTGATATCTTTCAATACTTTTAACTGTCTTATTTGCTCAGGGTATGAATTTACAGTTACTATGCCACCAAAATCAACACTTTAATCCACTCGTCTATTGTCCAGTTGAAACAACATGAGAAGGGAAGGGAAGAGATAGAATGAGGACAGTATAGATTAAATAAATGGTTCTGTTCAAATTTCTTTGAAGGTTACCTGGGTTGAGAGAAACCTGAAGAAGGCCAGAGGACATAACATCTGAAACATTGTGATAATAACAATAAAGATGAGGACATCTGTCTGAATGTAAATAATGATAACTCTTCATCCTAGAAATTCAAACAGGAACAGTAAACTCTATTTAACCATCAGCAAAATCATATGCATACTAACAAATAAAGCACGTACATGTCTGTAATATGAATATGGATAAAAGTGTTGTTGCCTTTCACAGTCTATTATTTTTTTTCATGAGTTCAATCCTTATACAAGCCAATTCACTATTTATTGCTTCCCTGATTCAGTGGCTCATGGATAAAATAGATCCATTTTGGGAGACATTATTGTTACTTCATTGTATGAAACAGATTTTCTGTATGCTATACATCAATAAGAATGGCCGACCAAATTCTGTTCCAAGTTATCCAGTGCCATGTGCATTGGACAGGAGAATAATGATCAACTCTGATCATAGTCTGTATTTGGCAACAGTATATTCTCATCATTCCATGAGATCACACACTGTTATGGCCACATAGTCTTGGCCATCCCATCACATGACTCTGCAATTTATTGAAAAATACAGAGAAGTCAACATTTGTCAGTGTCCAGGCAGAGAGCCAATCAACATTACACAAAATAATCAATTAGATATGAACCACATCTGTACTCTGTTAGAATTCATTTTTTTTTTTTAAATGATTGTGTTGTTGGTATCTGCTAGATATGGCATCAGATATTGAAGAAAGAGTTTTATTGCTTACTATTCTGCCCATAACTGATTCCTTAGATTAACCATATGATCTTTCAATTTTCTTCTTGTATAACAAATCACATTTTTCTGGGAAAAATAAATCCATTTTTTAATCACATAAACACATTTGCTTTCATTGTGAAGAGATTGTTAAATACTCCTGTGAATGATAAGAGAAAATTATTTCTTTTAACCTGGAAACAATGCCTCAATTAAAATATACATCAATACAAGATTGAAAATATTGATAACAATGAAAATAGCAGGCAACAATACCAAATTTTATTTTTGTGTTCTTGATGTTATTGTCACATTTCATCCAATTTATTGTCCAATCTTCTTCTTGCATATAATTTGTAAAGAAGGAACAGTGTCTCATTTTTTTCAACACAAGATGGAGACACCTCTCTTTCCTTATGAATTATACACATGAACAATACCTGTAATAATCAAGATTAAAAACAATTGACAAGGTATTTCTGTTATGCTTTTTATTGTTTTCCTTGTGTGTGAACAAGAGATTTCTTTTTTCACACTTAGTGCATGCAGAAATTGTCCAAATGATTTTCATTTCAAGTGCTTTCAAAAATTAAAAATGTGTCTACTTCCCAACAATTTAGCCGCCATTTGCAACAGCACAACCCAAATTCTTGAAATTGGTTAGTAGATTAGATATATATTCAGCAATATATTTACACAAAAACATACATATGAACTTTACAGGTATTAAAAAATGCATTCATGCATGTAAACATAATTCCTTTTCAAATTACAAACATTTTATCCACTTTTTTCCATTCTGTCCATGAAGGAAGTTTTGGGTTTAAGTTTGATCCAACTGTGCATAACAACTTCATTATTGATATTAGATAAAAAACCTTTCAATGCCTCTTTCAATTTTGGGAACAACCGGAACATTGATGGTGCTAAATTGAAGCTCTAAATATTGTGTGAAACAACTGCAAAGTTCAGGCTTTTCACTATATGTGCTGTTGTCTGAATGCAATATGGTTTTGTGTTATAGAAAAAAAGGTTTTTCTTTCAGGCCTTAATCTGCAGATGTATTGAATGCTTCAAATGTTTCATTGTTTTCATACATCTATGAATTTCAGTTGGTGTGAAAATTTCTATCAGTGCTTTATACATAACTCAGAAATAGAATTCAAAACTAAAAACATTATTATTCAATAACATCACAAAGTGAACTAACACCAATCATGTTTGAACTGTTTGATTTTATATACTGCCAAACATGTTCAAACATATTTCTATTTCCACTATTAATGATATCACTAAGTGAAAGATTTTACTAATCAATCAACACTTATAGCAGACATATAAATAATACAATTTTGTTAACAATGTGACACCATGTAAAAATAACAAACTTTGCTTTTTAAGTATTGTCCATTGGTTTTGTATAAGAGTCAAAAGCCAATAAGACTATCTTGAATATTAAATTGCTAGATTCATAGCATTGTAGAATCTTTGAAACAAGTTACTATTCCAGAGAATTATAAAAGATCCCAGATCAATAACAATATTGATGATGTAATACACTTATTCCTTGTGATCTCATTCTCAGAATGATCTGCCCATACCAGCTCAGGCTGAAAAAAAAACAAGTAAATAGACTTTCTACTCATAATACAAAATAAAATTACCCTTTTAAGTACAGGTCAGTAACATTTAAGAATAACAAAATAGCCAATGCACCATGGGTAAATACTCTGTCTATCTTAGCTTCCTAGGAGCAAAACAGATTGATTTTTTTTTCTTTTTTACTCTGCCTCAGTGTAACTCTACAATGGAGTTTGGAATAGAAAGAAACAAAGGAATCTCAGAATATATTACAATAGCAGCAATAAACAAACTGAATTTTTTTATCAAAAGAGATTGATTCCATACACACTGTTATTTTGTTTTTAATAACAATTCTAAAATAAAATTTAAGAGCATTATTGTTATTATACTAAAACACTGGATCTGTGATTAAATAATACCATTAAAAAAACATTATCCCTTCACACTTGATATCTTTCAATACTTTTGACTGTCTTATTGGCTCAGGGTATGAATTTACAATTACTATGCCACCAAAATCAACAGTTTAATCCACTCAGCTATTGTCCAATGGAAAGAACATGAGACCTTCCCAGAAGAGAAGAGATGGAATGAGGACAATATAATCTTATAGATTAAATAAATGGTTCTGTTCAAATTTCTCTGAAGGTCACCTTGATTGAGAGACACCTGAAGAAGAACACAACATGCTCAGGTGAACAAAACTGACCCATTGGTCAAAGAGGTGGTGCTTATCAGAAAAAAATCCACACTACACTTACATTTGCTACAAAAATGGTGAAGAAACAAATGTAGCTAATAAACATGTATGCCCAGTTGAGATCCCAGTTAATAGGGAAACCCAGGAGATACTTAATGAGAATAACTACCCAGTCCTACTAAAGAAACTACTGAAGCTACCCTGACCAAAATGGATAATACTATCCAGAGTACCACAACCCCACACCAAAAACTGCTGATGTTGCTGAGAAAGCAATAGTACCCATGATATTAGATTGGATGCATCCACCTACACATTTGAACTTGTAACAATAGCAGTAATTTAACCAGGAGGAGAATGTGATGATATTTTCTTTAGGTTATATGGTGCCTCATTCTGTCAGCAAACAAAGACTTACCTCCTGTAAGGATATGTTTGTAATTAATATGAGCAGACACAAAGAGGCATCTATTGTGATTAAAACTATCACATTGGTACAATTGGAAAAATGATTCCTGTGGACTATAGTGGTTAAACAGGCAGGTGTAAACCAAGAAGATTGGGGTTTCACCTGTTATTTCCAAGAACATGCAAAACTAACTTTTTGAGTAATTGCAAATATCAGATTAAAAATTGAAATACACACACACACACAAACACACACACACATATATATATATATATATATATATATATATATATATATATATATATATATATATATATATATCAAAATTATCAATTATCAAATCTCAATTATGATAAAAGATGGTTTTGAAAAATGATTACTGTAATTATAACATAGTTTGTTTTTTGTTTTCTTTTTTCTGGTACATTCTCTTCTCTCACCTTTGCTTCTCCTTCTCTTCTTCTTCCTTGTCTTCTCTCTTCCTTATTTCTATTAAACATTTTCATGTTTGTCTCCTCTTTATTATAACTTTTACTATTATCCATATCCATTTTACTTCATTCATCCTTTATCATTGGCCTTGTTATTGTTGTTGCTATTAATATTTCATACCCTCCTTTTCTTCATCTTTTTTAAAATCCCAATATCCTAACTTCCTCAATCTAATCTTCTCCTCTCAGTTACCATAGCAACAGGTCAAGTTATTATAGGAGTAGGAGTGAAAGGTAGAAACTCCTCTGACTATTTTTAGAGCTTCTTTCCTTTATCTGCAGTTAAGAATTTTCATTAGAATTTTATGAGAGAAAGAAACTGAGACAGAATTAAATGAAAAATTGAACTGAATTTTTTTATTGGCAAAACTGAGAATTATAAATAAATATAACAAATGTATAAGCATAGATACCAATTCAAGTCTTCAACTTTAATTGTGAACAATTCAAAGAGTGAAGTCTTTTGAGAAAGAATGAACCTGATAAAAAGTAAATCTATTATCGTAAAAAAACTTATTCTTTAATAATATTATATATCGAATGAAAAGGAAGATTAAATTTAATGAAATTTAGCTGAAATTATTTTAATTGGGGGAAAATATAATTAATTTTTTATTTTTAAATGACATGTCTCTTCAGGACATAAGATAATCATAGCTGTTCACACATTCCTTTTCTTTATTGTCTGTGAATTATTATACATTCTTGAGAAAGATAGATGATTGCATTCTCTACAATTTGAAT